AGGAAGAAGACCACCATCTCCTTGCCTATCAGCACCGCGATAGGCACCGTTAACACTGTAACCAAGGCATGGACCCGTTCCAGGATTACTGGCATGTCCGACACTTGCTGGATAGCCCGCAACAACGTTGGGCTGGCTAACGCCGACACCAACGCCCTGATGGTAGACACCACCTCCATAGGCTGGGCCATAGAAACTCGAACCACACTGATTGTTCCCAGTTCCATGAGAGTCAGCAACTGTGCCGTGAAATCCAGGCGCTCCACCAGGGTATCCCCCGGTAGGACTACCGCCAGTCGGGCCGCCAGGAGGCCCAGCGGGCCCTTGGCCCCCGGGCCCTGGGGGTGGAAATGGAGCTGATCCATGACCACCACATCCGTCTCCACCTTGACCGGATGGTCCGCCGTGCCCGCCTCGTCCCCCGGGAGGAGGAGGAGGGGGCGGTCCAGCATCTGCGCGCTCACGCCGCGCATTGCAGCGCGCGCATCGCTCAAGGCCGTCATTCCCAAAATAAATATGGTCGTCACAAACGGCGTTCTCACAATCGGTGCAGCAATACATGGAAGCTTCCTGGGCATTTCTGCGACATGCCCAACACTTAATTTTCAAGAGCTGACAATTCCAACAATCCCCATCGTCACCCTTGCATAGCCCACAGAACTCACGCCTGCATGTGGCACAAGTGAACTCTGCGTCCGGGTGCTTCCGGTCATTCGGATTATCCTGAGCACAGATCTTCGGTACGCCGGGTCCACCGTTGCCAGGCATGCCTCTCGCAGTTGGTCCCGAAGCCTGCCCGCGATCGGATGGGGTCCCAGGAGTCCTCCAGCTATCGCCGGGACTCTGGATGTCACCACGAGCCTGCTCCCAGGAGTCCTCCAGCTATCGCCGGGACTCTGGATGTCGGCATGAGCCCTGCTACCCCTATCACCTCTAGGTGGACGGTTTGGGTTCGGAGAAACACTCCCGCTATCGCGGATCGGCCTTTCTAGGTTCGGAGAAACACTCCCGCTATCGCGGATTGGCCTTTCCCCCCTTGATTGCCGATTCCTGACCTCAGACCCCTATCGGGGACGGCAGTAGGTCTCGGGCTCCTGTTTCTACCTACATCCCTGCTCGGAAAAACTGAAACATCCCCCCTGACACGCGTTTAGGGGCCATCCCTCATGCGCCCTGGAGGGGAGTGTGACCTGTCAGGCAGTCCTAGGGCCCTTCTGCTTCTGCTGTCCGCCCTCCCCCTAACAAGATGAATGGGATGTCTGTCTGCATGAGAAGCATCGGCCCTAACGGGTGCGTTTGGCAAAGTGCGGTCAGTTAGGCTAACGCCCCCGCCCGGCCTAACCGAAAGATCGGTATCCCGACCATGTCCATCCCCAGGGGTAGGTGTCGGTGACCTGATCCTGTGTCCCTGTCCAGCAAAGGCGTTGTAACCAACGTTCTGTCTCTCTCGGAGTCCACGAGGATTCTGCTGGACACCCTGAATTATGTCAGCCGCGTCGTCGACGTGTCCTTCAATTTCAGCAAGCTGCGCCATAACTCTGTTGTTCATTCCATTCAGAGTGTGGACGTTGCTTTCGACAGTTGTCACTCTTCGCATCGTGGAGTCCAGCGAGTTGCGATATGAAGCGAGCTCACGCCTAATGAAGGACTGCGTCTGTTCATTACCCGAGGGAAGGCTACGAACCTGCCTTCTTATATCCTCGATAACTTGTTGGAGATTCCGTGAACTTGCCTCGTATGCTGCAATACGAGAGTTCGCAGCCTCGACCTTCTCAACGACAATGTCATGATCTCGACGTTGACGGTGAAATCCACGAGAAAGATACTGGACTTTCCGATGCATCTCCTCAATTGCCTCGTGCCAGTCCTGAGGGGAATCAGGCTCTGCGGGTCTATCGACCACCTGGTACCCCCTTCCGCTTCGCAATCTTGACACTTGTTCAGCAAGACCCACTTGCTCTTCATGAAGACCACCAATAGATTCGGTGACCCACTTCGCAAGCTTGTCGTGTTCGACGTGGAGTCTGTCAAGCTTCATGTTCAATTCCCTGAAACTCGCATCTGTTCCGTTGCTAGTAGCCCTATCGGGCCCCGACGCAGTTGGATCATCGGACGGCGTCTGCAGCTTGACAATCTTTTCCACCAAGAAGACTCGTTTCTCGAGCTTCTCCAAATCATCGAGGGTTTGATCTTCAGATGCAGCATGACTCCTGCGGATAGCCTGATGATTTTCCTGAATGACCTGACGAAGCTGACCAATAGCGACCTCTGTGTCCCTAACGGATTCCCGAATTTCGCTGGACAGCAACTTGATCCTCTGATCCACGATCTCAGCCTGTTCATCGATGGCATGCCTAACAATGGCCCTGCTATCCGGGACGATCTCGCCAGCAAATCGCTGAACTATCATTCGCATCCTATCGGCATCAGATTGAGTCGCAACCTCAGTAGCCAAGCGACTAACCCTGTCCTTCGCCTGCTGATTCTCGTCGCTCCGATCCTTTCGCATGGAACTCACCTGACCATTCAGTAACCTGATTTGGTCAGCAAAAATGTGGAATGCTTTCGCGACTGAACCAGACACTTCACCCCTCTCGAGCATCTCCTGGATGTGTAAATCAAACACTTCCTTTGCCCTAGCGTCACCTGACTCGCCAGAAGAATGGGATCTGTGGGCTGGAGGAGTCGATATCTCGATCCTCTCAGGAGCCCTACCAGCTCTGACATGGAGTACAGGACTATCATCAATCCTGGAAGGCCTACTCGGAATGGATCCCCTTCCCCGGCTATCGCCAGATCGGGGATCAACATTCGATGCACGAGACTCAGGAGTAGAGTGGATATGAACGTCAGCGGGATCAAACATTTCCTCATCCTGCGGAGTTGAACCTAACGGTATAGGGCTAGCTCTCCTCGCCTTTGACCTATCGGTCTCTACGGCTAAGGGTGACGGCCTCTTCGCAGAAGCACTGCGCTCCCTGGCTGCCGACCCCCGTTGGGGAGTGAACTCATTGCTAGACCTTAGCGGTTCGAGGTCGCTGGGATCTCGCCCTAACGGGCTAGCGATCGACGGACGATCCTCGATTCCGAGTGCATTGGCAAGCCTACCGTCTCTCGCACCTGCCTCAACTACTTCGGCAGCCCGCTCAATGATCCTCGGCGAACCAGTAACCCGGTTTGCGTTCTCGTCCCTCTGATGCAGCGGACCTCCAAATGTAATGTTGGGAAAAGGGGGAACATTTGGGGTATGGTCAAACGCCGGAGGACCTATCGGTCCACTCCGGTCATGGATGGCCTCCAAACCCTGAAGAACCTCCCGGCTATCCCTGGCCCTCTCTCTCTCGCTCCGGGTGTCCCTGTCAACACGAAGGTCCCTTGCAGCTCCACGAGAGAGACTCCTGGGCCTGGCAGCAGCACGGCTCCTTGCACTTCGGCGTGCCAAATTCTCTTCCTCATCACGACGATCCGCAAATGCGGCATAATCGTCATCATCATCGAACTCAAACTTGGCCGCAGCAGGATTAGGCCTATCGGCATCAGACTCCTGCTTCACGCTACTGCCCCAGCCTGCGGTTGATGTTAACAGAGCATCGTACCCGGCCTGTAAACGTCCTCTCCACGTGCTGACCTGGATTTTGAGAACCGGTGGATCGACCCGAGATATCTGTCGGAGCCGGAACCATGGTTCCTGGTCCTCGCGGCCTGTCCCCGAGCTCATCCGAGACCTGCGATTCACCTGGAACAAGAGACCTTGGGGGTCGGGTGGGCATGGCCTCCAGGTCGTCTGAATGAGGGCGGGCCATGTTCATCGCCATGCTGATGAAGTCCAAATGTCCGTGCCTGAGCCTGGTTCAGAGCCGCCCCTATCGGGGCGAGCTCTTTGTCCTTGCTCATCATCGGTGGCCTGACGGAAAATGCAATCGTCTCCATCGTCAGTGAACCTGCCACGGCTTCTGGGTGTGTCCCTATCGGGATCATCGCTCCTTCGATCCTGACCTGCTGAACCTACCTCAAATTCCTCGAAGTTATAGTCCGGCAAGTCCTCACCTGATCGGAGACCTCCTAGGATGGCCTCCTCATCCACGACACTCCTGCGTGATCGTGGGGTCGACGTCATAGAGCTTGTAGTTGATGGTCTCAAGCGCGTAGGAAAGTCCTACGGCTGATAACCTGTGATTCGGGCACGAGCCTGTGCCCAGGCAATGGGTAAGTTGGGGTAAACAAGCCACAAAAGGTTCCCCAAAAGCAAACCAATCCCCGGTCCCAAAGATCAGGGTTTCCCACACACCAGAGAACAACAACCAAAACAAAGAATAGAGTTACCCGCAACCTTGACCGACAACGGGCCGCACGAATGGTCCCTACCAACCTGACGGCGGCCCGAGGTCTCTTTCTCCCCGGAGATGCCGTCGGTCGACGCAGGGGTTCGGCGACGCCCATTCGAGGCGCGACGGAACCCGTGAAAACTTGAGCCAAAGTGGCACCGGATAGTTGCTATCGCAACATGCCGGTAGTCACCTGAAATACATGGCTAATCACAGAAGACAAAGTCGCCAAGCAATCCGCCCAAACGCTTGCCCACAGCCTCCCCACCCCTGTGCCATTTTTGTGCCGGGTGACAAGTGGCAGAGCGTTGGAACAATTGTCAAATGCCCAGCAGAAGCCTTTGAGAAGCTATCCAGCACGGCAAAGGTGATTTGCAGTATCAGCCGAACTTCCCGCCTGCGCTTTCGCAGCTTGAGCCTCGCGCGCTCGGATGGGCCGGAGCTTGCCAGTCGCCAGGTTCCTCTGCTGCATCTCCCGAAAGTCCACCTCCTCACAAGCGAATCTACTGTGATTCACCGAAGGGCCCGAAACCTATCACCAACTTGTTTGAACCGGTCACCCCAAGTCTTTGAACAACCTCCTTCAGCTCTCCCAATATACGTATGAATATAAACCCTGGGTTCCAAAAAGTGGCCTGAAAATTCCCTTTCAAGGTGTACAAAAGTTTCCCCCGGTTACCCCCAGGCCCTGGGGCTCCGCGCGTAGGCGCGGCCCTGGGTCTCCAAGTTGGCCCTGGGCAGATTCGCGCGCGCGGCGGCGCGGAGCAGCGTCTGCGCCGTGAGGTCGAAGGGCTGCCAGGAGCCCTCCAGGCCCACCTCTCGACAAAAAAGCGACGCGAGTCCAGCTCCTCCATCTCTGGTCTGGGGAACCCTATGGGTTGAAATGGGAACCAAGTGGAAACCGGCCGTTTAGGGGGCTGCCACACTTTGCAAGACAGTGTCATAAATGAACCCACCCAAAGGGTGATGTCCCTTACTGGGTCCGTAAAAGCAAAATCCTCTAGTTGCTCCCTCCACGGAATGAGGACTAGATCCATCACCTTTCCCTGGTTCTCAAATTAAGGTGGTAAACAAACTAGAAACAAGGAATCGCCGGGCAAGGAACCATCAACCTGGGCTGCTGCGATTGGTGCAGTATGTGCAGCTGTCATCCACGAGAGCCCGCCAGGCGTCATCCATGTCACAATTTCATTTTGCCATTCAACCACATGATGCTTGATTCTAGTCCATATTCAGTGAGCGTTGGTATGCAACAATAATTCCCAAGACCTCCCAGCGCCCCGCCTCCCACACAGGCGCCATCTCCTGCACCTTCACCTCCTGTAGCCCCTCGAGCCCCTCGTCCTCCTGAGGCTTGACTTGCCTCCAGTGACCACGGAGCCACCACTCAAAGTGTGGCCTACCCATTCGAAAATTTTGGACCTCACTTCCCACACCCTTAAGGGACCAAACACCCTCCGGAACATACAAACAGCCCTTGTGTGAGGCTTACGACGAAGTGTCTGCTGATTCCCTGCGCTTTCCTGAAGAGGGGCGTGTCCAGTGCGTTGCATTTGCGCTTTGATTCCTGCGATGCCAACGTTCGATGTCCTTCCTCTCTTCCTCTGACTTGCTTCGCCACTTGCGAGGGGCTTCCCCTGCCTCATCTTTTCTACAGTGTAACCCGAAGAGTCCCGAACCAGCCAGGTTCCATCATCTGCCTGGCAAGAGTCCCGGCAAAATCCCCAGTTCCATCCTTATAAATTGGGAGAACGGCCCTAAGTCCAAAAATCCCATCGAATAGAAGTCCTCCCCTCCCAAGGTGGAAAAGCTCCTGAAAGCTGCCGTCGATGACGTAGGGCGTGAGCCCGCCAGAGCCTAGCAGCGAGCGGAAATCCGAGTTAGCCCTGGCTCCCTTGGTGACAGGTAAGTGGAACGGGGAAGAAAGCCAGGGATTTCCCCCCTTGAGTCTCTACATTGGTTGCTTGATGTAGGTTTTACGCTGTTTACCTACTGCAGGAAGCATTGGGCAAAATATGCTTATTGCAATGTTCAAAGTGGTGTGGTCTTGTTTTGGACTCATTTCAAAAGGCAGAGCAAAACAAAGGAACCTCGTTTAAGAAGAAGCTGGCTTCGGTTTCTCAATCCTACCCCGAGGTGGTAAGCAACACCAGGCCCCAATCCTTGAAACTCGGAATCTCAGCCCAGAATTCTTGGACAAAGCGTTCCGCCCAGTCTCTCTGTGATGGTTCTTTTGCATTTTACACGTCCCTTGAGTTTTGCCACAGAAAGTTGCAACAAACCCTTGTCGCGGCATGTTCCGCAGGGCTCCCACCTGCGCCTTCCCAACTCCCCGTTGTTGTCCAATCGCAAGCCTGTTGTTTGAGCTCCATTTCTTTGCATATCGGCCCAACAACACAGCTTGCGGGTCATCACGCGGAGATTGTTGACCCTGATTAGAAACCCAGCCTCAGTGTTTTGTTTTAGAGGGGATCCCTTTTAGTTCTTGCAGAAGGATCTCCTGAGTGATGACGGGGGGGGGTTCAAAACAAATCGAGGGTCAACGCCAGGAACCAACATGTTCTTCTGACCAAGATCCATCCAAACAAACAATTTGCCAGGGGCCAGAAAAACAAAGCACCTTGCAGGGAGGTGACCCCCCCCCCCCGCTCCCCCCCAAGCCGAGTCCAACTGGACCTGCGAGCAGGCGGCAGAAGGAGTAGGACAGCAGCCGCTCCAACATGGTCCAGCACCTCCTGTCGAAGTCCGAGGTCCGCCAGGCCAGGACCTGGCCCCAAACAGCGCTCCGCCCGGGCAACAAGCGGAGAGACCACGTCGGAGGTCTTGGGGCTGAAGCCACCCTCATTTAATTCCGTTCAAGAAAAACAATGTTATGTTTCCTCGCGGGACATGGTACCAGGCAGCAAAGCGTCACACTTTCGCAAAAATCAGAGGTCAACCAGTGTTTGACTTCTCGACGTGTTGCTCTTTTTTTGGGCGGAATGACCAGGACTGCATAAAGCGACTTCTCGTTGCTTTTTTTTTCCGACTTCTGGGCTTTCGTAACTTTTCGACTTGTTGCAACTGTTTGACGTTTCGCGACCTCGCGATTTTTAAAGAGTTTGTTCATGTGTTCGTGACTTGTCGGCTTTCCGGCTTTGCGACTCTTCGACTTTCTGCGACTCCTGGCAATTTCGGGACTCTCGGTGTTTGTTTTGCGCTTTTTGAGCGCCGGCTACCGCTCCATTTCAGCTTTCCGATTTCGCAACTATGCGATTACCCTACCATGCTTGCCTTTTTTCCGCAAAGCCCCTATGACCGGAAGTGGTGGGCTTGGCTGCAGCATTCATTCCTTTTCGGCTTTGCTTCAAAGACAGGAACAAACCGGAGCAAAGTAGTAGACCAAAGGGGTTCAATGCTTAGATTTGCAAATCAAACGCAACCCGCTTATCAAGCTAATGCCCTGCCCATCTGCAAAAGTCCTCTAAATGCAGTTTCACAAAAGGAATGATTATTGTTATCTGTAAACCATTTTGATCGTAGTAAAGGAACACATGGAGAGTGGACATATCAGTCCCCCCTTAGGCACATTACTGCGCGCACGTACGTAGCCACATGTTTGTCGGTCGGCTGCGCTTGTCACGTAGGAACCGCGTAGGGACTTGACAGTTTGCGCGTAGGTGTAGGGGCTTAGAGAGCAAAACCCCAATCACGTAAGCGCGCTTGGGGGCTTTAAGGCTGAAATACACTTCACGTGAGTGCCGGCACAGGCGTCTGAGACGTTACTAGCGCGTTGCCTTCCCAAAAAAAGCTGTGTTCATGTTCATTGTAAGCTCCTGATGGTAAGACTATGTGCATTATATGCCATGAGGTGCAAGTGGGTTAGTCACCAGAATTAGTTAGAAAAAACAAACATGAAAGTAGATGGAATGATCATGGGAAGTTAGCTTGGACAACACGTGATACATTGCTGGGGAACCTCTACCGGTAGGCCAGCAATCTAATTGTTTTGTCTTTATCAAAAATGGGGAATGCACGTGTGAAAAAAAACCTTTAGAAGTTCATATCTTCTCCATCCAAACAGCTGGTGAGAGCCCATCAAGTTGTGAGAGATGAAGACGGGATACGCATCAATTGCATTCATGCGTTTATCGTTCATCGGCGCTTGGAATTGGAACGGGGATGTTTGAGAAAGCTAGAGGGACAACTTGACTAGAAGCCCTATCAGCATCGCAATGAAATTGTATTACCCATCCAGAAATAGAGCAAAAACAAATTAGGAATAAAGGTCAGAAGGCAACTTGTTTGGATATATCACGTAGCTCGTCTCTGTCTCTATGTCCAAATATATTCTTGCTCAGCTCTTGCTGTACCAGCAGCTGGGATACAGCAGGAATGTGGCTCTCTTTCGATTTTAAATACTCACTTTTTTTTGGGGTAAGTGTTCAGCGGTTTTCCACAGTAAGTGCCTCCTTTGTAGGCAAGTTTCTGCGTCAAAAATTCGACTATTCGAGCTTCGTGTTGTGGATTGTTTGACGTCTGACACTCACCGTGCGCTCCGATCCGAAGCCCACTGGGTAGCCGCACGGTTGCGAGGTAGATTTAGTCGAAGAGTTTGCTATTGACGAAAGTACTCGAAGAGAACTCCCATGCACAAGTGCGCTTCGTCATATGGAAGGCCAATCCAAATCAGCACGAGGAATGGTGGTGCTTTGCCACATGTTTGAGACCAGCTTGGCAAAAATACCCCAACAGGAGATCTACACTTTTTCGGGGCTCCGTGTGTTTTTGTTCAGCCTGCCTTCCTAAAAGAGCAATGCTTCGTTTCCCAAGCCCAAAGCGAACGTAGTTTCAGCCAAGCACTCAATTGAAATGCGGTGGGCCTCTTGAGCCATCCCCAAAGATCCTGGCAAACAAGGGGCCACTTTGTGGCGAATACTTTTGCCGACCCGAAGGATTTTCCGAGCCCGGAATCCCCACCAAACTGGGCTGAAGTTACCGGCTGGTCCCATGCCGTGAAGCCCATGAAGCCTTGGTGCAACAGGCGATGTACAGGGGCAGCGCTGCCATCGCCAGGTCAATGCCAAAGGGCTCCTCCTGGCAATTGGGGGGTTTGGGGTAGCCAACAAGTGACGACTGAACAACATTCTGCGCCTGCAACACGACTGATCGTACTTGTATTCAATTCCAATTTCAGGTTGGTTCTATCAAGACATCTATTGCGTGCATGGCTGCACCACTTTTGTTGGTTTGTGTTCGACGTTGATGCAAAGCCGCGCATCAACGAACGTTGAACATTGTCAAAAGGATAGAGCTGGGAGGATTTGAGCCTCCAACCTCCACCTCCCCTAGACGAAGGGTGGCGCGCTGCCATTGCGCCACAGCTCTAGCATTCACATGTGGAAGCGCCCATCAAGTGATGATACAACAACCACACCCGCACTGCATGCGAGCTTCATCCCAAGCACCGGAGCGTAAAGGCCAAGCGGACAACCGAAGGACACTCCAAAGCACAGCAACCATTACTGCTTTTCCTTGCTTTGATGGGCGCATTTACAACGAAGCCCTAAATATTCCTTTTGGTTTCCCCAAAAGTGAGGCTTCGCTGTCAAGTCCCTCCAACGACCGGGCCTGCTCACAGCAGCAGTAGTCGATCCAAAAGGCGACCTGTACAGAATCCATGGCCGGGCTGAATCAGCTACCAGGAAGAAAAAGCGAATCAAGTCCAAGCTTACATGCCACTCTGAAAGGAAACTTGTTTCGAACCCAGATGTCCATTTGGGGATTGTGCAATTAAAGATGCCTGGAAACTTCCCATTCGCCGGCCTTTGCCTTCCTTTCACGGCCATCGACAGCAAGAACCGTCCGTGTTCGCAACTTTTGCAGTCCTTTCGCGTTCCTTTCGCCAGCCTTTTCCAGTGCAGGGTTTTCCTTTCGTGGGAGTTTCCACAATTTGAGACTTGCCATTTAGACGACCCCCATTTACAACCCAAAGGCAGCCAGCTAGCCAGCCAACAGCTTAAAAGCGTCCGTACTTGCCGCAAAGTCCAGCCACAAAACACATGGAACAAGAGCATGGCTCTCCTACCTCTCATGTAGGCACCTTCTGTTTTTCAAAAAATCCAACCCCTTGGCTGCCTCTATATTTCAAGCCACCATCCCCACATCAGGCTGCCACATTCTGTGTGAGGCTGCCGACACTTTCGTGCCTGACCGCGTTTCCATCCCTTCCACTCCCTTCCTTCCCGGCCTCACAGGGCACCCCAGCCGCCAGCGCCATGTGCATGAACCACCGCGCGAAGGCCGCCAGCTTTCGCGCCTGGCGAAGAAGCGCCTCGATCCCCGAAACTTTGTGTCTGTCTGATCCAAATTGTTTCTCAAGCGCTGGAATTCATTCACCAGAAGGGTTTTGGGGGTTCTGATCAGTTCCTTGTTCGCCCTGCTCGGCAACTTGGGAGCAGGTCATGATATATCATCCGCCAAGCGGAAGTAAGACGAATCCCTTCAAAGAAATTAAATTCATGGGGTTCTCGATCCTAACCAAGCTGAAGCATGTCTGTGGCTCCTGAGTGTCGAGAGCCGTTCCCAGTGTGGCAGGTTGTCCGCTAACAAACTGATCAACGATCAACACACTTGGAATGGGGACTTTCACTTCTCCTGGGCCACCATGGTTCCCTACATCCCTTGTTTTACCTGCAGCGCCTGGTTTCCTGTGAAACACCACAGAAGCGACGCTGCTGCGGGCCTTGATGTTATCCTCCGAGTCGGGATGGCAGTCGGCGCCTGGCAGCTGACTTTGAGTTGCGGGCCCTTTGAAACAAGTGAGCCTATGGTGTGGGCGGGGGGGGAGATGCTGAGGCTCACGTGCATGGGTACATGCTGTTTAGCCCCTTGCCCAGCCATGCAGGCTGCATTCAGTTTGCGGGCATTGACGAATGCAGCGGGACTTTCTTGATTCTGAATTGTGAGTAAACAGAGTCACCAACAGCAAAGCTTCTCATCATGCGGCTGGGCCAATGGGAAAGCGCGTTGTTCGAACCAACTGATTCTTCCCTTCGCTTTGAAGCCTGGCAGCGAGGGACCGCCATGTTCTTGCTAGCTGCATGGGGATTAGCAAACAAGTAGCTCTTTGAAGCCCCCCAAAGGGAAAAAGTGCGAGGGACAAAAAAGCAACACACTAAGACTAATTCGTGCCAAAGCACACTAACCCTGGACTCCTGGACGTGAGCTAAATCGTTTTGGGGGTGACCTCCCCTGTGCAAAGAGGCTTCGCGCATAATCGAACGGCTGAGCTCCTGTGCGCAGCCAGCGGTGGGACAGCAGGAAAACCACCAGCTGCCGCTCGGCCTTGTCCGGCTCCACTTCCATACGCTGTGACACCTCCTGCGGGAGAAATGGGTCAGCCCCCCCCCCCCCCGGAAAAAATATATATCTTTCGAGCACATTTTGAAGTTGGACCCCTTGAGGATCGATGTAGGCCCTGTGGGGGCTCTGCGGTCTCTTTCCCACGAAAGTGCCGCAGAAAGGTTTGCCTGTCCTTTCCCACCTCAAATGGCCCCTGCCCCCGCAAACAAAAAGACAACAAACAAGAACGCTACACGGGCTCTTTGGGGACAAGGAGCAAACCAAAAAGGTATGCTGGCGGTAGACAACAGTCACAGACAGATGTACATGTCAGGTGCATTTGGCCGCAGGCCATGGTTGAACAGGCTGTCACCATTCAAAACAATGTTTTGCGGTGCTTCCAACAAGCCATGATTGAGGCTGTCGCTTCAATGGACCCAGCTCTTCGTCAAGCCGGGATTGCTTAGGCATTATTTCACAAGCTCAACCCCTTCAAAGACTGATACTTAACCAAAAAGGGTTGCAACGAATAGACACATCAAAGTGTCTGGGGCAAATTGCTGCAAAATACGGGATGTCCGGAAGTAAGGGAACCTCAGACGCGAGCTCCTTTGACCCCCGAATCGGTGCACCCCCCGCAACACCTGGCCTGCAGGAGGTCCTCCGCGGACTTTGCAGCGCCGGAGTTGTGCTTGGGGAGGCCGTTCCGCAGCTGGGACCTCGGCCAAAACGTGACGGTTGGCGTCGAAACCTCACTTACCAAAGCGCTCTGCAAATGAAATCACTATACGCACTTTCAAAAAACGAAGCTTTAAATGGTTTCCAAAACCAAAAAAAAGAAAACAAGGCAAATAGATGTTGTTGGCAAAACTCAAGTGCCCAGGCACGATCACATGGGCATGGAAATCGGCTTTATTTGGCTCTGCCAGCCAGGTTGAGCTTTGATAAGCATGTCAGGATGGCTTACATAGCCCTCGCTTGCCAGAACCAGCCACTTATAAACGTCATAGGGGTTTTCGCTGTGAGAAACTTCATGGCGGTTTGAGCCCTTAGCTCTTCTGGCGAGGCACCAGTGAACGAGTCGAAGTGGCGGCACAGCCGTGTCGGGGCACTCCAAGATCCGCTGGGCCTTCTTCGCAAGCCTCGACTTGGCCACCGAAAACCCAGGATTGACAACGCCCTGTTTTCTGAATTGCGGGGCGCCACATGTGAGAGAACGGCCGCGACTTGCCTTACCTCCCAACTAGCACAAAACCTAACTGGAGGTGATCAGAAGGGCCCTCCACTGGTTCCATGTAAGTTGAGGGGGAGGTAAGCCAGGAATGGATGAACAGGAGCCCAAGATTGATAACCCTCTGCATTGCAGGGCAAACATCCAGGTGGAAATCAGGTTGCTTGAGCCAGCCCCAGTACCGGTTTATTGGAAGCATCCCATGATAGAAGCTGATTCAACAAACCTCACTTCACCTGAACGGCATGGCTGCTGTTTTTTTTTCAGGGCACCTTCCACCGACAAACACCCCTCGAGTCCTGCCACGACTTTGCATTTTGCTGACGGGGCGCCCAGCTTTGATGAAGTGCCGGCTGGACAGCAGTCGTTGCACGTGCTGCCGCACCTACCGGCCGGGTGCCCGAAACATCTTGAAGTCCTGGCTTGGGGTTTTCTTGAATCGGGACCCCTGAAGATGCTTTGGAGTCTTTACATGTCTCTCCCTTCCACCAAGAAACATGGAAGTGCACCCACCCCTTTTAAGGAAGACTAGCAGAGCACCCGATGTTTGTTGGGAAGGGTGCCATCCAAAGGAGCCACGTTAAGCCCATCCCTGTAATTAGATGTCCTTACACCGCATACTCTATTCTACGTATATGTAAATTCATGTTTATTGGAATTATAAATGACCCATCCGTTTCTGGTAAATTCATGTTTATTAGGATTATAAATGCTGCTCTGGCTGATGAATATGGAACTGGTTGGTCCGAGCTTGTTCAGGCCCCGGTACGTACCCTGATCCGTGCTGTTGCTCCGCTGCAGCTCTGCAATGATGATGCTTGTTTTGCGGGGTGTGGCAGGTTCCATCCGGCCGTTGAGGAGCCGGTCACCCCGGTCGTCATTGATGTTTGGGGGCGCCAATTCCAGCAGCTTGACGGACACCGCTGTCCTGCCGACAAGGCTGAGGCGTTTCAGGTCCTTCTGCGAGTCCCGCTCAGTGCGACGGGTGCTCTTCTCAAGTGCTCGGGCGTTGGTGGGGTCTACTTTGAACCTTGGTGCTCCAACGGCCGCCAGACTGAAGCCTCCTTCGTCGTCTGGCTGCCGGGTGCCTCTGGTGAGGACATGAAGCACAAAGCCCGAACCTTCGGCAAGACTGTCGGAATCGCCCTCCAAATTTGGTCCCCGTGTTCGAGACAAGGATGAGGAGCTAGCAACCAGCTTTCTCCGACCAGGTCAGTCCTTCATCAAGGTGCGGGTTGTTTTGATCCTCCGCCTCATTCCCTTGCCCCACGGCTCGCCACGCTCGAGCATCGCTCAGCTGCTGAAAGAGTGGGGCTGCCCTTGCAGGCAGGACGAGGGTCTGAGCAGGGATGTTCTTAAAAGGTTGGATCTAGTGAGCCGCCCCCACACCCAGTCATGGCAGGTCCGGTTGGTGATGTCATCATCACTAAGGTCCGGGAAATCGGGGCGCCTTCTGAGTCGACCCCATCCTTGTGTGCCCCGAACAAGACTCGGCAACACATCCAGAAGGGAACTGTGCCGTATCGAGGGCTGGTTTGTGGGTGGTATCGATCTTGTTTGCTGCCGGGTATTTCCTCCTCAAGCCGGGATTTGGGTTGGGTTCTTTGAGGATGTTTTCGCTGACACTCGGACGGCTCTCGCCCAGTGGGCAGCATCCAGGCCTGCACTGCCTCGCCGTGCACAGGACCGATGCCAAGTCGAGCTAAATACTGCTCTGGCATAAACATCAACTAAACCATAGAATAGTCTACCGAGTTTGAGATGTGCTGTTATATCGAAACCAAGTTCGAGTTTGTTGCAGAAATTTGCCTTTAGTTCCGTATATTTTGAATTCTTTAGTTTTACGTATAATTCCTTCAATTGCTAATCTTTTGGCTACATTCCATGAGTACATTGTTTTCTATTAATAGGTCCTTCATTCCATTTACGTTGCTTACTTTATGTTATGTTAAGATGATTATTGTTGCATTCAAAGGTTAAATTAATGTATTCCAAGTTCGGCCTGCGCCCAAATTGGGCAATTCGGACAAGGGCGAAGGATCCACGCCGCTGGGCCACGCAAAATGATTGCCACGGGGCCGAAAGGTCAGAAACACCCACTAAACAGGCGGCTTCAGGGCTTCTGGTGGGGCATGGTTTGTGTTCAGCTCGTGGCTTGGCTTATGTTCGCAGGTTTGTCTCGTCGTAATTTTGGGCAACCAAAACCGCAGGACTGCCAGCTGAGTTGGCAAGAGGGTTTCCTGCCTTGAGCTGTTCAAATGCCCTCCTCAAGAACTGCTTGGCTTCGATCACCCACTCTCTATCTCCACTCATGGCCGAGCACGCCTCTGCAACACCTCATGGCTTCTACAGGTCACTGCTCGGAAAACCAGCGGAGCCCGTCTTTTTTCACCCAAAATGACATGAAACGACAGGAGTATGGCAGTGCACTTGCTCCACTGGCCATCCGCCCCTCCCATATCCCCCATATCCCCCCTATGCCCACCTGCGACACGCGCACAGAATGGCACACCATGGTGCGGAGGTCATAGACATCGTCCATGGCCGCCTTCCTGAGAACCGGATTGAGAATTGCACCCGGGACACGTGTTTGGTAGGCTCAGACAATGGAAGGGGTCGAAGAAACGCGCCCGGTCCAAAATCACATGACAAATTCCCCAGAATTCTATCCTTAAGACCGAACGCCTGGGAAGATGCGTCTCTTGCAGGACTTAGCCTTACAGCAGGGCCATGCAAGTTGGCACCCAGGTCCCTTGCTTGGGCCAAAAGATGCCTCCTCCCCCCCCCCCCGTCACAAACAAACAATCGGCACAAAGAGATACTCACTGTAGTTGCTTCAGAGGCCCAACCCCCAGCAGGCCCCACCCCAGACCCGAGCCACCCAATCTGATGTCAAGGGTCGGCAGCTGGGCGGCGTTCGCCTGGTCCACAAAGGTGGCCAAGCGCTTCGGCAGCCGCTTGGAAAGGTACCACTGCAGACCTGCCATGAGCGCCATGGTTCCCACAGACGCGGTGGGCGAACTCATTTAGAATTTACTGTATCTGCTTACGGTTCCCATGGTTTGATGTGTTTTTTTGCTCTTTTGTTTCCCGTTTATTTTTTCTCGAATCCGCATCGTCGTGTTTCATTGACCTGTGGAACCTGTCGAGTTGACTTGTCCAAAGGCATACCTGCTGTCGCCATGGTTATGGTTCCCTGAAATCATGCCCACAAAGGTAAAATGGGACAATTCACTCAGAGCCTCACGTTCTCACGGGAGGGAAAGCCGCCCTGGGGTTGTCCCCAAGAAGGAACCTGTGGGAATCCGTTTTGGACCCCTACCGCTGGCTTCTTGAGATATAGGTTGGTCGAAGCGTGGGAACGATTTCCACCCCGACGCGGCCGACCATGCAACTTGGCTTCACAGGCTCCCCCCCCAAACTCCCGAATGTCCGAGCAGCATTCAACAAAACTTCCACCCCCAAGGGAGAGTCGAGCCTATACATGTATATATCTGTATATATATATATACAGTATATTAAGCTACGTATCTACATGTAAGCATTATACAGCCACTTTTCCCAAGATGGAGATTTGCGGAACATATCGGGGAAAAGCTCAGCCTGGGAAGCTCCAGGTGAGGTGGGCCCGTGACATGGAGTAGGCGGCGCCGTCGATGCTCTGCAGACGTTTGCCCAGGCGGTAGCCATGCCTCGCCTCGCTTTGCGCGCGCCTCCACTCCAAACACGAATTGGACAAATGTGACATCCTCAACCCGGGGAACCCTCTGGATTCTCAGCTCCCAGACGCCACAGCCTTCAGTTGGGGAGGAAATTCGCTCACCCTCACCACCCCAGCGCGCACTTCGGCCCAAAAAGAAAGCCCCAAAAGAAGGGTTTCGGGCGGAAAGTGCCCTTTGATGAGCCGTACGCTGGCAGACCCCCCACCCCCCGCAAGCGCCTGGTCAGGGGTGATGGATTTCAACTTCTCAAAGCGCCGGTGCAGCCGCCGAGCGAGCTCCAGCCAGAGGTCGTCGTCCGCGTCTTGCAGCGGCCGCAGCGGCGAGTTTCCGGAGGGCGCGACGCGCGACAGGAAGTCGTAGCCTCGAACCGGCGCGACCCGCGGGGCGGTCATTGAAATGGCCCTAGGGTTTAGTTGCTGTGGTGTCCTTGCCGTGTTATGCCGTGTTGTCCTAGTTCGAAAAGAAGTCATGAGTTGGCTCTTGGTCAGTGTGCCAGGAACTGAGTTCTGTGATTTGTTGCGCTCCTACGTTCTTTGGAATGTCCAGGGGGGAGTGGGTCAAAAGCAAGCCCGAGCTTCTTTTCCCGAGCGGCCCGCTTTTTTTTTGGGGGGGGGGGTCGATGCAAGTGGGCGGGACCAGAGCAGCCAACCACGAAAATGAGCTCCCAAACCGGCTTGATGCCGGCCTCGGGAGCTATGTATTACGATGCGGTTGCAAGGGTTCTTCCAGAAACCAATGCACGCGTAGAAAAGATGCCAAGACCCTGAACTGCTAAATGTTGGACTTCCCTTTCAAAAAAAAAAGACACGTTCAATTGCTGGACTCTCAGAATTTGAACCTGGCCGTGGCCCCATGGCTCCAGTGGCAAACCAATCCCGGCCTCAGGGAGCCGAGGAGCCTTCGACACAATGACTTCCCTTCCCTTGTGATCCAAAGCTGGTTCACCCCCGTGCCAATGACTACCTGGCCACTCTCGAGTTCCGCCCGTGGCAACCTGAATTCTCGACCCTGGTTCCAAGCTCAAACCCAGCTTGATTGACCTCCATTTGGCTGTGAGTCAAAGATGGGTATCCATTTTGGAACCCTGGTAAATGGAACCAAGGACTACAACCTGCGGTTTCCTGGTGCTTTAATTTTGACCCATACCCATTTCACCTTTTGGCTCCTGGGCCAAAAGGGAAAGGCAGGTTTGGGGGTCGAATCTCGTCCAGGGAGCGCTCTGCTGTGTCCACCTCCCGGCGCTTGTAGATGCGCAGGAACCGCTGGCGTACCCACCAGGCCTAGGAGGGGAGGGCATGCAGACTTGGCACAGGGTTTGCGTTTGGAACCAACCATTTCGGCACCAAAAGGCATCAATTGAATGTTCATCCGTGGGCAACCACTGACATTTCTAGGTCGGATGTCTCCAGTTGCTCGTGTGCCCCGGCCAAGGCCTCTCCCTTCATTCGCCAGGCTGACCCCGGCTTGCAGCTTGAGGGGGCAAACGCGAGCTTCATCCATGCTGAGGGGCCACTGACAATCACACAAGCCAAACAAACTCCCAATTGCAACCAACGGACCTGAAAAGAAGCTAGGACTTGAGAAAATCACCAAGGAAAAGGGAGACCTCAGACTGACGAAACGCTGCCAAGAAAACCAACATCGAGGACTCAGTCATGGCCAAGGCGCCGTCGTGGCCAGCGCCACGGTGGAAAGGATGATGGCGCAGCCTGAGGCGAGAGGCTGCTGGCACGCGGGGAAAACCGCTGGCTGAACATGCTTAAATTTGTAGAGGGATGCGTCCACAAGAGGGATCTGCACCAAAATTGCTCCTTGAACCCCCTCACAAAACAAAAGCGCAAGTTTTGAACGCATGGCGTACTCTTGGAATACATTCAATATTTGCATGTAAATGATGCGGGGGGTATCCGTGCCTGGGATTGAATATGGGCAAATCTACACACACACACACACACACACACACACACACACACACACACACACACACACACACACACGCAAATGCAAGCACAAACGACTTGTTTGGAGATACCTGCCAGCGTCGTCAGGATGAACTAGGCGAACGGAAGGTCACACTCTGACAATTGTTTGGGCGGGGGATGGCTGCCGGAGTTGCCCATTTGAGCCCCAAATCTTGCACCAAGCATCCTGCAGGAGTTGTACAAAGACCCTACGGCTTTCTGCTTCTTCCTGTTCCTTCGGCTTGCAAATTCTGAATCAATCGAACTTAGACCCACCCCGAAAAAAGACTGTTTGCAGGCTAGCAGCGGCTCGCAGATATTAATGAATGGAAATTGGAGAAGCAAAGCAGCCAAGATGAGTCTGGCAGTCAAAAATCACGACGCAGCTGCCCATTCGTCGATTCTCAAAACCTCCTGCTACATTTGGGAAGGGCACTTGGGCCAAAGAGTGAAATGCAACCACAAGAAACACTTGCCATGTTCATAAAGAGAGGCCATTTTGAGGGCTCCATGTTGATTTGGGGACTGTGCATCGAGGGCCCCGCAAAAAACCAGACCGAGGCGCCAATGGTGGAGTTGACAATGGTCTCCTGCACCACCTTCGTCCTTGCCGCCAGGCCCAAGAGAGTGGTCCGCCCATCTGCGCAGCCTCGTCTTCAGGCAAAGGCTGAATGTTACACTCACCGAGGACCTACCAAGTTGGGCTTTGGGACTCCTAAAAAGCAAACTAAAAGGTCCAAAAGGTCGGCTAGGTGCAACTGGGTGCATAATGCTCTGCATAAAAACCCTGGTCTATCGGCGAACTCAGAATTCAGCTAATTATTTCTGTATTCCGGGAAACCAAAGGCTTGTGCCCGCAAAATGGAATGCGCCCATCTGTGGGCGTATTCATTCGGACTTGAAGGAATTCCAGGGGGTTAAATCCCCTCTCCCAACCCAAATGCGCATTATGAAGCAATCCATGCAATGTTCGCCACTTCTCTCTGCCCCTTGCAGGTTGCGAGAGCATAGACCCGCTTGGCCAGTTGGGGCGAAAGTGGTCTCCTAGCCCGGTTTTTTGTTGGCGCTTTCAACCGCGTCGCGGCGGTTTTGAAGTGCGTGTTAGCCGTTTTGTTTATGCGAAGGCGGCTGAAAGATGGCCGTCCTGTGTGTTGTGGGTCTGCCGAGCTGGGCGTCCTCTGCAGCCTTGCACCTGGCCACTGTTCGCCGCCATTCGCCCAGTTGGGACCTTTGTTTCTCATCGGTCAAGGTGCCCCAGTAGAACTCCCACCACTCGCGCTCCAAGCAGGGATCCCCCGAGGGCGAGCAAGCCGAGATCCAGGGGAAGGTGGAGAAGCATCCTTGGCGCTTTCACTCTAAGAAGCAAAAAGATGACTCAGGGGGCAAAATTGGTTTGGTTTTCCCTTGGTTTCTCTTGTTTGCCTGGGCCTCTATTCACCAAATACCACTTTTGTACTATGTCTCAAGGCCTTTCTTCCCGAAAGGGCTGGGCGCCAACTGGGCTCCAACTAATCTGCAACTTCTACAATGCCAAAACCTGAGATCAGATTTGGATCTCCAAGTAAAGGGCCTAGGTGCGTTTTTCAAGTCCCTAGACCGGTGTCCTGTGATTCTTTATGTGGGCAAAACAGTCGAGATCTGTGGTGTGCTGCTCCAACATGACATCATGCAACCAAGCTCGTTTCATACTGAGGATCCGGAGATTTGTTGCATCCAAACCTGAAATGTCCTGCCCAGCTAGGCAGCACCTAAAGCCCCAGTTCCTCAGCCCCGAAATGCCCAGGCTTCCCTTGGCCTGGCAACATCTCTCCTTGCGGCCCCCAATGTGATAGGCAAAAGATGGCGACAAAACAGCCACCCTTCAACGACACAGAGTCGCCCACAAAGCCCCAAGCCCCTGGCTTGCGCCGATTGATCAAACCGAAGGCCGGGCATCGGTAGAGCAAAAGCGTGAGGATGAACCAGGGGATGCGCAGGAGGGGAATCCTGCCGGCGGAACAAGCACACGGGCCGCGCAATCCGCCACGCACATCAGTATTCGTTGCCCGGCGTGGGATAAAGATTTGGACAACCATTCAACAAATTGCCAAACCCCATATCAAACCAATGCCCGCGACTGAGATCCGTTTGGGCCACTGGCACTGAGCTCTATCCGCCACGAAATCCGCCGGGCCCGACTCTCGGTCCAGCGGCAGCCGGGGAAAGCAGCGAAGACCCTGGCCAAGCTCCAAGCTGCTTGAAGCTTCAACTTTCCACAGTTCCTCTGTTTTTGTTCCGGGCTTCAGCTTGGTTGTTTTTGTTTTGTTTGGTTCCTGTTCAACTCTGTCTTCTTTTTCTTTTCTTTTTTGCGGGGGGGGGGAGGGAAAGAGGAGGGTAGTTGTTGCTGTCTTGCTGTTCTTCTCTGCTTTTATTTGCAAGAAGGGGGGGGACTTAAATCTGGAGCCGGAAAAGGTGCAAACTAAGCCGTCCCTAACTAAGCAGTACATAGATAATTTTACAAGTTTGCTAACCACGCTGCCTGGAAACCAACAAAAGTCTGAATTTGGCAAAGGTCTCCCATTCTGAGTGCTACATCGGGGGTGCACCTCCCTTGTGGTTTAACAATTGTTGACAACTTCGCCCGGAGTATCCCATCCAGGCCCGGTGGAGGCGAGCAGCCTAAGACTCGAAGCTTGGTGCTCGGGCGGAAACCTAATCATTCCAAAAGCAAAATTCAGGGATCCCCAAGTGAAGGACCTTTATCATGGTGAGCTCGTGTTACGCCCCCCCCACGCTATAACATAGGCAGAACATGGCAGAACCATGCGTGCAGGAGGGGGTCCCGGACGACCCGACTCTCCTGACCCGACCGCTTCGCCTGTACCAGAGCCAGTCGCGAACCTCTGGCATGCACTGCACCACAATGGTGAAGGACAGGAGTAGGCTCGTGGCGATGGAGGCGGTGACCTATGCCGGTCAAAACTCGATCCCTTCGTGGGTCACGGAAGAGGCCGTAACTTCCCGTTTTCCCACAGCCATGGGCTCCTTGTTTTTGGGATCCTCAGTGGATGGCCGCCCCAGTCGCCCAAGTAAAAGGGGCCACCACATGGTTTTTGCGGCCAGAATGCTGACCATCCGCCCTTGCATGCTCGGCTGCCTTTCCCTTCCTGTGCTCCAGATACAAAGGGGCTGCACCCTGACACTATCCGAGTGGCCCAAATCTTATCGGCGATCGCCGCCTCATCGTAGAAGATCCTCAGAGCCGCACAACAAGCACTAACACGTTTGCCCCGACGGTTCACACAACCAAAAACAGCAAGAGTTTGTCAACCCCCCCCTTCACCCCGCCCCGCTCGCTTCTTCGAGGCTCAGAAAGACCGCCTGAAGGGCGCTCTGCTCCACATCCTGGCGAACCCGCGAACCCATGCACCCCACGCACCGAACCGCACCGAACTGAGAAGACCAGTCTGGTGAAGTTGCGCCCAGGTCGTTGAAACCCCCCGTTGCTCTGCGCTAAGGCAAAAGCATCTCACGAACTGAGGCGGCCAAACAATGAGCCACAAAGGCTTACAGCAAGTTTCGCCTTTTCGCTGCCACAGATCGAGACCCTATAGCTGGCGAAATGGCTCTTTCGACAGACCGAAGAACAAGTCGATCCCGCTCATTCAAGCTGCAACTTCAGCCATGCAATAATTGCAAACACCTGAAATGAGGGATCTCGGGTACAGGACCTAAATCATGGCGAGCTGGTTGTGCCCCCTGAACCTGTGGCAGAACTTCAAACGAATTTTCAGGTACCAAGAAAACGATGCCTGCCGTAAGCATCTCATTGCGGGAAGAACGGACCTCGTCCGCGAGACGGACACAAAGTCTGGCCTCGAAGATGAAGCGAAGGAAAGCGATGCGGGCCTCTGAGAGTTTCCTGGGAGCTCGGGCCGGGTAAGACTTTTCATGGAGACAGCCTTCACAGGAGTCCCAATTCAAACCTCATACCCATGCGTGTCAACCGCCCACGGGTCACCTTGCATTGGTCAGGCCTGGAGCTTGGTGCGCTTGGCGCCCTTTGACTAGATGGCTTCGTTGACTCAAAATCGGCCTTCAAAAATGGTTCCTTTTGCTTGCTCCCCTTTCAAGCAATCGAAGGGTACCCTGTCCACTAACATGGTGCCCTTTAAAGGAAAATTATCTTCCATCAGTCAGGTTCCATGTTGGACGAGAGGGTACTGAGTGCTCAAAAACACGGACCCCACACCACCCACATCTCATCTCAGGTAAGCTTCTTACTTGATGGTTTGTATCGGTTGGATTTGAAGCGCTGGTTCTTGAGGGCAGGTGGGCAACCACTCCCCAGCCCCAAGGAACAATACAACTTCCAATAGTGATAGCTTCCCTTTAAAGCCAACAGGGGAAATCGGAAAATAAAACAAACCTTCTTAAGAACAGAAAAAACAGAAGAAGAAAAACCTATGTTCTTAAGCAAATGGAAGCCAGCGACTCCGAGGGAAGCCAACCATCAAACCTGGCGGGGCGCATCGCCCAGCTGCTGGCGCCCCCGAGGCGTTCCTCCACCGCCGGCCGCACCGCGTAGACCAAGACCTTCGCTCGTTCGATAGGGAGTGAGACATGGAATTGACCCCAGAAACCGTCCCTGGTGACTTCCTTTAAGGGAATCTGCATCCCTGGCTTCATTCCCCAATCCCGGAAGGTCGTCCCCTACTGAGCAGCAAGAAGATCTCGGGGCGAGGGGCAAATTGTGGCTGTGGGTTCTTTCAGGGTGAACGAGGGGAGCGGAGAAATATGAAGTTGTCCATCTCCTTTTGGTTTCCTTGTGAGGTAGCTGGCTTGTATCTGGTTTGGAAATGCGACAGCCGCAGCTGAAGGAAGCTTCTGTGTTTGTCTCTCCTGCAACTGGCACTCCCTTGGTTGAACAGGGGCATATCGAAGAGAGATCCCTATTAGAAAAGGACCCAGCTGGGAACTTGTCCCTTTGGCAACTTACGAATAGGTTCTTCAAAACAATCGTCTTCCCCCTGATTCGTGATGTGGACTGGTGACTTGCAGGTGTGGGCGGGGGCATTGCCGAAAGGACCGGGGTTGTACGGCTGACTTTTGGTCCTATAAACCTAGGCGGAAGGCGATGTCCAACCTACATCTTTAAACACCTGTTCAAACATCCAGTTGGTTGCCCCTTAGGTGATGCTTGCACCCCGCTGACCGTAAGGCGCTCCCCCAAGGAACACGTGTTGCCCTTGGACGCCCGGCCAAGTTGTCAGAGCCCCGGAGCGCAGTGAAGGCGCCTTGGACCAGCAGCCGGTCCCGCTCCTGCCGCAAGCCCCCCACAAATATCACGCTCCTCATAGGCTAGGTGCGCAGCCACTGACCCTAGACATTCCAACCAAGCATTCTCAGCTTTAAAAAACCGGGCCAACATGTTCTGGTCACCATTGAAAACCACAAAAAAGGCTTGCCGAGCCTGGGTGTTGGCTTTGTCTGATTTGTGTTTGGCTGTTGACTGGCAAATCCACTTTAGAGAATATCTGGATAGCACGTTCTGGCCGACTTTCACAGGGAGGGGGAAGTTGAAAGATTTGGTTTGACGGATGGAACAGCGAGGAGGGGCCGACTGTCAAATAAAAGATTCACACAAAAAGGAGGAGGAACTGCGAGACGATTGCTAAGAAAATCTGTCAGGGAGAGCTTCCGCGAATGTCGGCAGTATGAATCTTCCATTGAAGGGCACCCAAGGGCAAGGACCCAACTCAAACACCTGAGGCGTTCAATTTTCAGGCATGTCATGTAGTGGAAGCTTGCCCCCCTCCCCAGGGCGACTCGAGTGGAAGCTCCTCTGGAGTGGTGGCCTTGTTGTACTGAACCACAGTAGCGATCAGCACCAAGAGCTGCCTCAAAGAAAATTTGACGGGACCCCTTTAGTGTCGGACCCGCTTGGTTTAATTGGGTACGCTTTAGTATTAAGCGTGCAAACAATTCCGGGCAAACATTCCGATTTCCTGTTTGAAGTGGTCCCCAAACCATAGTGGCCGATTGACGCCACAGGCCGATTGACGCTGCAATCGAAAGCGAAAGGGGCCGTAGGAGGCTCCCCAAAAAAAACGGGACGCTCCTCATGCTATTTCGATCTTTCCCTTGGCGGGGGCCTTTCAGGAGGTCCAAAAAGGACTTCAAAAAGGAGAGCGCGGAATATCCCCGGGGCCAACGTCGCAGCGGAGGTTTCGCATCGAGCCGCACCAACACCTGCATGAGGCCCACCCCGAGGCCCACCAGCCAGGCGGACACGAACCAGAGCTCGAAGTTGCACTTGTTGGCGATCACCGGAAACCTGAGGCCAATGGAAACCAAGCCCATCTGTGCAAGGGCTGTTCTTTTGGCATATGAACAAAGCAATCCTTGTGTGCAAGGGACCCCTGTGGAAAGTTGGTTTGAGGGTTTTGAGGTCCATGCTATTTTGCGGGTGAGTTTGAACCGGCAAATGCCAGTGTAGTGTGACTCTTGAGGGTAACCTTTTTTCAGGCTATCTTTTGGGGGTTAATTCCTGCCGCCATTCGCTTAATTAAGGCCCAGGGCGGTTTCCCAGTGACCTTGAGAAGGGCAAGGTGCTCAAATTCGGGACCAGCCATTGAAGGTGACTGCTCGCAAAAGGATGCTGAGCCCTGCAAGAAGGAATCCTCACAGCTCGTTTTGCCCCCACTTTTTGGTTAGAAACTCCAGGACGCTTTGTTGGAAAGCTTATCAGGGAGGCCCCTTTTTTCGTGCTTTCGTCCCTTTCAAGGGGGGATCACAAAAAGCTGCCCCCAGTTTCAAACAACCATGCCATGTTTTGCCGACCATGCAGGCCAAAAGCCCGTGCTTTGCCATGGCACGTTGCATCCTGGTACGTGTCGGTGAGGAGAATGAAGGAGCAGAGGGCGCGAAAGAGCAAGCGCCAGCGGAATGTGTAGCAAAAGGAACCCGCTCGCCTGGAAGGAAAATGTAAGGTAAATTGTCTGGCACTCATCAATCAACTGGGGATTCATTCGAATCCGGAGTTCCTGACATTTCATGTGGAATCCGAAGAATTTGATATTTTTATCGGATTCACATCTCACGTAATTACACTTGCCCGGCCGACTGCCGACTGGAGAACTCGAGCAAGCAAACACCCTGCAAACATCGGCGTTGCTTTTTCAGCTTGGGGAGTTCTACTTGTCTGTGAGCTCTGCGACGCTTCGCCAATTGGCTTAGGGATGCCGACCCCCTGGTAAAAGCATGAGGGAATGACCCCTTCCATAGAGTTTTCCTCCTGCCCGCACCCGGAAAATGGGGCCCTTCCACAAATTACTTAAGGAAGGGATGCGCAGCCAAGCGCCTTTGACCAAGGCGCTCTCCCCCGATTAGGCGCAGCAAAGTGAAGGAAATGAGGTTGGTCAGGCACATGTACCTTACAAAAAACATGAAGCGCATCTGGCACAAAGGGGGGGAGGGGGGGCACTCGCGTGTGTTTTTCAGTGGCAAGTTGGCGCCCTCTGCAAAGGGTGGATGCACGCTACCCATGTTCATAAGAGTGATCATGGTTTGACCATGGTGTGAGGGGCAGCTATTGGCAAAAGGCACCTTGAGATCAACCAACCAAAAACGGAGGCAAACCAACACCCCACATGCCTTTGAAAAGGAAAAAGCAAAATGGTCTCCAAATCATGAGCCAGTCTGGCTGACGGCGTTGGCGTGCCCAAAGCCAGGAAACCAGTGGATGTTCACATTCTCCCCTGCAGCTTGCAAAAAATATTCAACAACAGCATCCTTTCTTAAGACTTGGATCTTCTTGTCAGGGAGGCACTGCTGTTTGGTTACTTCGGTTCGTTTGCAGGGGGGTAGTGTTCTGCAAGCATCGGTCCTGTGATTCCAGACTCCCCTGAAAGAGATGAAGGATTGTGGGCTAGTGCTTGAAGGATGTCTGACGGGCCCCAGTTTTAAGCCGAGGCGCGCGAACCAGGCCCCGTGGATGAAGCTTGGGAAGCCCTGGTCACAGCCTGGGATAAAGCGCTCGGCTAAATTAGCTGCACTGGATGGGACGCCCTTCAAGTGGGTGAAAATGTAATCCCCGTTGCACAGTGATCCCAAAGGCACAAACTCTTTGCATCCAACTCGATGCGAGGAAGCAGCTGGTCATGAGCAGGTACCCGGCATAGGGCAGGAGGGCAGCAGCGCAGAGGTTGCACATGTACTGCACGCCTGAGCAGACGGAGGAGCGAAAGGCGGATGGGATTTCCGGTGGGCAAAAAACCGGTTGATGTGTATGGCGACATGCGCTGGACTCTCACCCCCGGCCGCCGGGGGTGACAGGCGGCCAATCTTCAACACCTGTCAACAGTACCGACCAGGGGGAAGCCACTCATATCATAGAACTTGCTCAGCTTTACAACCGCCAGGTGATGCTAGTAGCCTGGCAGAGTTTAGTGACAGTTTAGCGGACTCTCTTCCTACCCGAAATAGGCCGGTTCGAGAAAGACTGATGTTCCTTGTTTCTCAGAATTGACTCAAACTCCGAAAGTGCAGCGGAACAAAGCAAAACACAAAGCACCCCGTACCTTCAACGACTGCCTTTCACTTGGGGCTTCGGGCACCGGTGCTTGCTGCCAGCAGGCCTAGCACCAGCCGGGCCCTGCGCCCGGTGAGGCGCCGCAAAATCTGCCGCGCAACCTGCAAATGCAGCTGGCGCCGCTGCACATCCTAGCGGTTTTGGGCATATGGGTATGAGTCAAAATTTACCCCACCAGGGGACTACAAATTTTAGTCCATGGTTCCATTTACCAGGGTTCCATTTTGGGTACCTATGCTTGACCCACAGCTTCCTTCCAAAAAGGCTCGCTTTTTGGCTTCTTGAACCTTGGCTCTGCGCCGTTGACACGTAGCACGGTCCTCCGCCTCCGCTCCGCCCAGCACGTCGTTGCTCAGCTTCTCAAAGAACTCCTCGGAGTCGGATCGACACCGCCGTGAGTTTGTGAAGCACGAGACCCCCCCAAAAAAGTCACCTGGGCTCCGTCTCCGCATTTTCTACAACACTTCCCAAACCGGGAAAATAAAGCCATGGGGTCCCTAGTTCACAGAGACTTGACGGAGCGCTTCCCTCATTTTGTCGTTGCTTCTGCCAGGGCTCCAGCAAGTCGAGGCCTGGGGCCCTGCCCGGTGCCTTGACAAAGGCCGGCGGCTGCTGCTGGACTTTGGCCTGACCCGCGACTCGCCTCCCTGCCCCGTTCCAACTGGCAAAAAAAGAAAACTGGCCTGGTTCCAGGGCGGCGGCAAATCCGGGGACGTGCGCCAGCGGCATCGAGCCAGTCGCTGGCGCAGCTCCAAGTGCTGGCCCTTTCGACCGATTCGCATCGAATCCCACGAACTTTTCCAGCCAAAAACACCAGTGTGGTGGTGTCGTGTTTTAGGAAACCCCCAGAAAATTGTCAGCGTTCCTCTTCAAACCCTTTAAAGCCAAGAATTTGGCATCCTCAACAAAAGACACACCCATTTGGAAGCACAATCCATTCTTTCTGGAACTAGAGTTTGCCTGCACTGAAACAAATTCACAGTAGTTTGTCTGAAACGTTTACAGCGTTCCCTAGAAACCAACAAACCAAGCTCTCCAACGAAGCGTGCGTTTTCCAAGTTTCCAAAGTATGAGGTCTTCGAAAGTTTCTCGGAAACAGAACAAACAACTTTGCACGGGGAACGTGTCTTAATCCATGGGAAGCTACCGCCGCACATGCAATAGAACACAAAGAAAAGCATGAGCTCGAAAGAAACAGGTCTCGTAAACGGCCAGGAGCTTGAATATCGCAGCGAAACAAGCGTTAGGGCAAGCCAAGACGTAGTTTTTCTCAGTACCAACCAACTAGGGATCTCCCAATACTTTTCGCAACTGACCAAGCAACCACTGTCCGGTGGCTTGGGTGTTCAATGCCACCTTGGGGTGGCGCACTTAGCATCAACAAAGCAGCAATGGGAACCCGAATCAACAAACCCGTCCTAATGGAGGGGCCATCTCCAAAAGTCAAATATCCACTTGCAAAAGGGCACTCCAACCTACTCACCCCCAAAGCTTTGGCAAACAATTCACCGCCAAGCCAAAACTCAAAACCACTAGCGCATGCCGTCCACCTGCACTAATGACTACAATTCATAGGGAACCCACAGGGAGAGAACCTCCACGGGTTTCGAGCTCACTCCGCCAGACCAAAACTCGCGAAGCCGGACCCGCCTTGGGCACCTGAACTGCATATTCCACTTGCAGCCCGGGGGTCTCCTCGGAGAGGCGCAAACCGCTGGCACGCGTTGACCCTTTGACCTTTGACCCCGCGCATTGAACGGGGCCTACCCAATTCTGCCACACGCACACACACCCACATTGCCCGGTGGCCATGGGGAGTAAAGTAGTAAAGGCAATGCGCGTGCCCTCGCAGAAAGGTCAAAATAACAACACGCAACAACCAAATAACCTAGGCCCTTCTAAAACCACCAATCAAAATTGGTAGACACAAGCGGGGAACTTCGGAAATTGGGGAAGTCTTGGGGCCATTAAAGTGACATCCTCAAAACACAACTGGCGGCTTCCAGGAATACCACCCCAGCTGTTTTGAGAAGCCTCAACCTGTGCCCGCCTCAACCCAGACCCCAAGAGGCCATGGGAAAGATGGCCTTTTGACCCGGTCAAATCCCCACACCAGATATTGCCCAAGATGTCATGGAAAACCTTTTTCGTGAACTTGACAAGGTCGATAACTACATCAACAATGTTGGAGGATTCTCAGACACCTGGGAAGAACATCTAGCATCTCTCACAAACCAAATCACCGACGAAGGGTTGCGGACTTGGCCCCGGCACTGTGGACTTGGCCCAGGCGGAGAAGTGCACCAGGCGCCGCTTTTCGATGTCCAGCCTGAGGGCGCACTCCCATGGCTTTCCTTCCTTTTGGCTTCCCAAAAAGGAAGGAGCAAAACGGTCTTGGGTCAAAAGCGTTGCATGGGTGCGAACTAATGGGTTCCTGCCAGGATGAACGCCTGATAAGCCTTTGGTGCAAGCTGGAGCCTGGCTGGTGGCCTTCTGGTTGTCCTCTAAAGCTGGCTCTAAACCTTCAGTTTCCTTTTGGCTTCCCTTTTGCAAACCTGAAAGGGTGACGCCCCAAAAAACGAGACACTCATAGGCCCTTGCTACAGGACCAAAGCGAGAATCCAATCATGACTACTGGTATCGCAGAAGGCGGCAACCTAAGACACCACGAGAGGGGCAACGGAGAGGATTTTTAGTGGGACGCAGCATGAAGCATGGGCTGGACCCCTACCTGGCTGTGCCTCATTTGCAGAAAAGCAGGAAGGTGTCCACTCTTTAAACAACTACCCTCCAGTAGTAAATCGGTGCTTATAGCACCGCTCCTTGCTTTGCGTCTGCTTCATCCACATTTCATCCGCTGGGCGCATTACACAAAACTGCCCAAAATGGCCAAGCCAATGGGTGCTCTGTCTCTGGTTTACCCAAACCCCAATTCTGTTTCGACACTCGGTTCACTTCTTCAGCCCGGCCGAGCCGCTGCCGCAGCAAACTCTGCCGCAGACATTCCTCGCTGGGCCAGGTCAGGTGCTGGGCCTGGCAATCGACCCATAAGACATTGCCGGGCTCATGCCCCTTGGCTCCGCTTCCAACATGTTTTTTGCTAAGCAAAAAAACCCATCACCCGCACTTCAAGGAAACAAAGATATTAACACATGCTAAAGCGAGCTATTGTTGGACAACGCACCAGTTGGGGAAAGATCCTGTTGGACGCCCATGGAACTGCAATGCATCCGCGGGATCCTGATATGCCGAGATCGAAACTCCCTATGCGGATCTTGATAGGTTCCCTTCTAAACAACCCGGGGGAAAATAGAAATATTCTTACACAATCCTTCTGCTGTTCTCAGCCCCTACTCCCCAAGCCATGGATCATGACCCACGCACCACCAGCCCAGCCTCGCCGCTAGAGCCTGGAACGGATGATAGCGTTGCACTATGGGTCAGGCCTTTTGATTGGTTGCTTCCGTGTCTCCCTCGCCGAATGGCTGGGGAAAAGCCAAAGGAACCTGCAGAACCTGGAATGAAAGGTTGAGTCCTTGGCTAAAAAGATGTGCCAAAATGGAAAGACCGCAAGTCCGAAAGGTCAGATCTGGTGGGCTCGCTTTGGGATGGCCTTTTGACAGTTGATGCCCAAGCGGAGAGGGGGTTGGTATGTCTGATGGAAATTGCCCACCATCAAGAACACAAGGGGCAAAACAGCCCTTATCACAAAACATGGTTGGGGACGCCACAATGAACGCATACAAGGACAGCGCAACTGGCAACTCGCCAGGTGGTCAGCTAAGGCGCCTTTCTCAGGCAGTTCTCCATCACCCGAAGTGCTGCCCGCCTGCAAGTAAAGCGAACAAGATCTGGTGCCAAGAAGACGGTGTCAAAACTGGTTGCGCCAAGTTGGAGGAGAGCAACTGGCTTCGAGACACACCCATATGCCCGCAACCAGAGGGAGCCTCAACACTTTAACACTGCTGGGAGGGCAGTACACGCTACGTGCTCCAAGTTGAGCCAGCAGAACCGCAAGCGCAAGCGGAACATGAGCTAAAGGCCACACGAATCACTAACAAGTAGCAGGGTGTCGTACCACGAGCTGTGAGGGCCTAAACACAGTGCGAGGATGTTTTCCAAGGTGTCCAAGCCCCGGAAGTACAACTAAGGAGCCTGTCCATGTGAGACAGGGTGCCCACCAGGCGACAAATGGTGGGTCCAAGCCGCAGCCTCTCCAGTTGAATGTGACGCCAAGACAAATCTAGCTGTGGCGCATGGTCCAGTGCCAGGTGCCTGTAATGCAGCCTCTGCAACTAGCAAAGTCCGCCTCCACCTCAGGCGGTTGTGATTCACTCTGTTTGGCAAAGGTTGAACAAGTAGAGTATGCCAGGGATGTGCGGCATCCTTGCTACATTGCAGCAGTAAGACTCAGAAAAATGCAGATTTTCTCGCTTGCTCGTTGCTTAAAACAAGCCAGCCTGCACAAGGAGGTGTGCCCAACTGGTACACATGTCCCGTAGCATCACCGACACCACAGCAAACAGCGGGTGGGCTGTCGATAAGGAAGCCCCGAATGAGGTACCCTCGTTCCAATTTGCCCTTGCATCCCTCCAAATTGCCCCCCTCACAGCCTGCAGGAGGCCTCCGCCGCGGCTGAGGTCGCCTGAAAAACACGGCACAAACGAGAAAAACTGCCATCTGACATGGCCGTCATGGTGTTAGGGTACCCTGGGGCTGTGCTCAAGGGACAAATCCAGGGAAACCCTGCGAACAAAGAGCCACGCGCCACACACCAATTTCAAGCAAGACGCCCTGGGGGGCGCCGAATCCAACACAAACAGCCGCCTCGCGGTGACACATCAGCAGCTTCCGACGCGTCGGCGAAACCGTCCTGGGAAGAAGGCAAACAGCAATGGGGTCGAAGGCCACCCGTGCATTGTGAGGGCTGCGAGTTGATTTGTTGGGATCACTTTAGACGTTAGAGGAGAACTGTGATGCCACTTTAACGGAAGTGGAAACATGACCCCTACCTCAACATTTGCCTCAGGGAACATGGAGCCTTTAAGAATCTTTAAGAGGTCACCCGCTCGTGGAAAGGATAGCAACTGGCAAAGGGCGAGCAAGAACCGCCGCGTTTCGGCTTTCCTTCCCAGGGTCCATGGCCTGGTCGTTCAAACCCTATGCCCGACACAAGCAGCCCACCGCGCTGCAATGCCCTCGTTGGCAAGTGGCCGGCTCAAGGTGTGGCGCGTCCACCAGTTCCGGACTGGCATCTGCCTCGGACATTAAGGCTGCGCAATGGCAAACATAACGGCAAAATGGCCAAACAGCTCCAGTCAGGTTATGGTTCGTAAACCTGCCCAGGCCGTCCGTCGAAATGGGACACAGGACGCCGCTGAACTGGATTGGCTGCATCCCCGCCCCTGCCACCCAGTAGGCTAGAGGCTGCCTCGCCCGCTTCCTCAGCAAGCGATTGGCGTCAATGGAAGGGACCCAGGGTTGTGGACAATGGCCCCCTTTCTCCGCTTCCAAACTCTGAACTGACGTTCCCCCACGCCATTCACAGAAAGTCTCTCTCAAAGATCCGAAACAGAAATTGACCTTCTGGCAGCTTTTCAAGGGACATAACCGCCATAATACATAGGTTGTTTGTGTCAAGCCAGTCGGGAAACTGCCGCTGCTTTGCAAAAAGTCCGCTTCGCTTGGCCTGTGTGCATTCTGATGCCCGCGCTTCCTGCACATGCTGCTAGTTTTGGGCTGCCCGAAGATCAACCACTCCAGCTCACATTCTCCCCTACCCTACCTTAAGAAATGACACTTTTTAAACCCAGCAAGGGAGGTGACAAGCAACCACCCCGCACGATCTCCAGGCACACATGCCAAAGCATGCCACGGCCAAAGAGACGTCCAAGCTCCGAAAGTTGAGCGCGGTCTTTGCATGCTTCGCCTTCCCAGGTTGACATGCGGGCCAGCCAATTGGCAGCCTACGCATGTCGATAAAATCCCCTTGGGTGATGACCGGACCAATGACCCTCAAATCTCAAGCGACGTGCTCCCGTGCCAACCGATGAACCTTGCCCTCGCACCCTAACATGGAACCTACCTGGAGGGTCCTGGAAGCGATGTTTTGTCTGAAAGGGGCCTACGCTCCGTTTGCTGGCGGGAGGGTAGTCGCGATACCTTTGGCCTTTGCCAAGGGTCAGGCTCCTCTCCGTATGCGCGGGATGTCGCATCCTCCACGTGCGGGCTGACATCTGCTGTGTCCTGAAAAGCTGATTTCTTCCCCTGCCGAGACTCAATAAAATACGGGCACGCGATTGCATCCCTGGTAGGTGGGGGGGGGTGCAGCCCCTCAACAGCCTGCCTGTCAGAAATTTCAACCCCAGAGTCCGCAGGTTACCTCATGCCTTCACTGTCACCAAGGGCAAGCGGATAATCCAGGCAATGGACCCCCCCAAAAAAACCAACATGTGAATTAGCAACAGCTGCCTAAAATTGTTTAAACAGGTGCCCATCCTTCAGCCCCTGCCCGGCCCTTCGCATTTGCAGTCCTCCTTCCAGGCAATCCCGAAAGCCAAGGCGTCTTCGGCCTTGCCCTCCTGTGAAAAGCAGAACCCAAGCCCCGCAAGGACATGCCATGGGCCTATTGCCAAAAACGAGGCAACGTCTGCAGCGTCGCCGCACGCATTCTTGCGCAGAGTCACGGAACACTACAGCGCACATGCTGCGAGGGCGTTTCCCAAGCAACAGCCAGCCAGCAATTGCGGAAGCATGTGGAAAAGAAACAACCATCTCCCCCGCAAAAAAAGAAAAGTTATCATCACCAGCGAATTCACCCGACACCTCCGCCGCCCGTTGACGCCGGGCTCCTCTGCCTCTTTCGCGTCCGGGTCTTGGGGCACCGCTTGCGGCAGCGGAGCATGCGGCGCCCAACTCGCCCCCAGCCGCGTTTCCTCCGCCACCTGCAGCTCCGCCTCCCGCTCCGACAGCCTCCTGCGGCCAAGTCTGCGCGTCAGGCTGGGGGGAGCTTAGAAGGTTTAGCTGGAAGTTTGGGCTACCTTGGCAATGAACGGTGGTCCAAGCCCAGCACACGTCAAGGGGGCAAACCCGCTGTTTCTTCAAAGGTCAGCGCCGGGTCAGCCTGGTGACTGGGGTGTCCACATGGAAAATCAAGAAACAGTGGACCCAGCTACCTGCCAAAAAGAGAAATCCTTTCGTAGAGGCCTTTGCCGTGCTCCAGGCGTGAATTTTTCCAGCAATTGGGGAGACACCTTTGATGGGGGCAACTCAAACCCAAAGCAGCCACCTGCAAGGGCCAATTCCTGTGTATCCAGGCAGCCTTGGCTGTTTGTACATACCCCGTTTCACACCACTTGGGCCAAAGGACCACAAAAGGATTGCAGTTGTTCATACCGCTCTCCCCAAACGTGGAAGTAACCATCTGTGAAATGTGTTTGTAGCAAACATAACAAGGAGACCATTTACCAAGGGTATGAACAAGGGACGCGTACTTCCATTCTTCGAATCTAGGAAGCTCCCAATATGGCTCTGGGAGAAGCACCGTCCTGCGCCACCATCATCCACCATCCCTTTTGCAGGGACGACTTAGTCACTTTATATGAGGTTCCTTTGGTGTCAAAAAGCAGGCAACCCAAACCCATAGTTTTACAACCATGTGAGCAACAGACTCGAGACTGACTTGAGTCGGCAACCCAAAGGCTGATGTTTGAAACCATCCTTCAAGGGGTAAGCCTTCTGGGGACCAAAGCAGCCCACAGGGCAATCAGAATCTCGCTCCTGCTCCTGGGGCTGGGCTTTTCCTCCAGCGCCGGCGACGGAGATGTTGGAACACCTGGCGCGCCTGGCAGGAAGCCAAATGCATGACTGGTCTGTTAGATCGAGGGGACCCGGCTTCAATCCTTTCTTTATTGGGATTCTTCCCTGTTAGGAGGGTGGTTGAAAGATCTGGCTTGAGCGCTGGAAACCCTTGCAAATGTCATGTTTTCCCAAGGCCTGTTTAAATCTACCGGGTCCCACGTGGATAGACACAAGCCACTGCTCAGCCTCAGCTTCATGTACCCACTTGATATATGTCCATTTGGCCGGGCAAGGGCCTCGAAGCTCAAGGCACATGGGAGCCTCAATCTTCCAAAGCAAAAGGGTTAGGAAAGTGTGAAAAACGGGCAGCCAATGTCGAAAGGGTGACCTATCGAACCCAGAAAGAGCCTTAGCGGTCGATTTCCTGTGAGACACTCAAACACTGGGGTTTGGGGTTTGGATGGAGGTTGGTGTCCTTTTGTCCTTCCCGCGAGAATGGTCATGGCAAAAAATGGCACCCCTGTTTGTGGTAGGCAATGTTAGCATCCAAACAGCAAAGGAACGCGGGAGAGGCGCCACAAACCCCGGCCTGAACCCCCCAAACCTTGGGAGGCCCCGGTGGGCAACTCGATGGTCAGACTGCACTCCACCAGAATCATCAAGCCTCAGAGCCACTCGGGGCATGCCGTGCGAGGTCGCCACATCAGGGCCCTTGCCTTCACCCCACTCGAAGCAAGCTCACTGTCACTTGGCTCAAAACGTGACAATTGAAGAAAAAAAAAGGCAAATGCTGGGAGCTCTGTGCATCTTGGCCCCGCAGTCTAAACTCAAAGCGCACCCAACAAGCTCTGTTTCAGCCCGGGCAGCGGCAGTTCCCCACGAGCTCCAGGATGAGGCCCAGGAGCACCTGATGGGAGAAACCAACCCCCCCCGCTCTCTGCTCGGTTTTTCTTTCTTCGATTTGATCGGTGGAACTGGGATTAGCCTTTGGTCCTTGCATCAAACTCCACATTACGGAAGGTGAGATGTTGCTCATTCATCTTTGTCCCTCTCCTTGCGCGTGAAAGCATGCCGAGTTTACGCCCCCCCCCCTTCAGCACATACTGGAACCAATGCCCCTACAAATTGACAACCCTCCAAATCCTAAGTCCCCCCAACCGGAGAGAGCCGCTCCGAGCTTCCACCGATCAATTCTGGGCGAGTCGATTCGCCCGGGCCAAGGCGCAGTGGCGCTCACTACGATGCTCAGCGCCAGGAGGAAGATCTTCAAAGTGTCCGGCGCACAGCCGAAGCCTCACGGAGCTGAAGCACCAGTTGAATCATCCCATCGCTTCCATCCCCATCGCAGGTTTTTTTTTCCACAGGAGAGCTTGAAAAATGACAACGCCGAGCAACTGTCAATCATTTTGGGGTTCTCTTGTGAAGGCCATGTAGCACGCAAGGGGTGCAACCAATACACTCCGTTGATGCCACCCGCTTACACACTTCCCTTCGAATAGCCTCCAGGACAGCCCGGTTCTCTGAGTTACCACTTGTCGTTCTTGCGAAGCCCACCTTGCTCGAGGTCCCGCTCCACGCCCCCGCCTTCAAAGGTCACCGCCGCAATGTTGGCGCACGGCTTGGCACCCTGAGGCAGAAGCGCAAGGGCATATGTCACGCCACGGCTCCATGTATAACAAAGAAAGGACCATCGTGAAGAAGCCTAATTGAAAGTCAGTGATGTTCATGCATACCCAGACGCCGTTGGACATCACGGCATCAGGGCAACTGACATGCCTTCGTGCATGTTTCAATGGCATCAAGCAACTGCTCAAGTTTCTTTTTTGTTGCCTCATCCGTGGGTTTGTACATTGCCCCGCGGCCATCCCATCAAATCGCAAGTGCAAAACAAGTCGGCCACTGAAAAGGACTAACCCCGCTGTTTTTGGCTTCCGGGTACAGCCCCACGGCGCATTCTTGGGCGAGCAGGGATGCGCCCGATAATCTCAGCTTGGCTTCTGACCAAGCGCCAAAGCCGTTGCTGCACGAACAGGCAGTAGTAGTAGCAGTAGTAGGTTGTAGCAGCAGCAGTAGTGTAGGTGGAGACTACTCATCCAGCCAAAATTGCACGAGAAGGCGTGCAAGTGGGCATGCAGCGGCATATAAAGAGCCAAGGAACACGGCTTCAAAAGGTGTGTGAGTAGCAAATGCGCGGCTCTGTGACATAGGTCTCAAACGATCCGAACACATGTTGAGTGCGCGAATCCATCTACACAAAGGTGTACATCCGCCTTTTATATATATATATAGTCACGTATGTGAAAAATATATATGCATATAACTTTTGCATGAAGGCAATGAACCTAGACGCCCTGATCTTGCCTCCAAACCTGCGCAAAAGAAACTATCCTTCTCGCAGCCTCCACCGTGAGAATAATCACTCCATGCCTTCAAACCATGTTGAAACCAACTCCTTTGGGTGACTCTGCTTCTGCTGTCATCTTCCTGCCTTTACGGGGTCAACCTTGTTTTTTCCTGTGAGGTCCCAAGTCCGCAGCCCATCCGGCCGCTCCTCCAGCACTCAGGCCTCCTGCAAAACCTGAACAAATTTCTAAATCGAATATCCAAAGCAAACAGGTGACGTCGAGTTTGGCAATGCAAAGTGAGCTCCGGGCCTCCCCACTCCGCCCCACCCTGCCTCCCAGCCATCCACCTCCGCCTCTACCGTCAGCTGCTCCCCGGTACCGAACTCGCGTTGCCCACCACCGCCCACCCGCAGCCGGCACCGCGCCTGCGGTTCGCAGCTTGGCGGTTCGCGCATTGGGCAGGCAGGGGTGCCCGCAGAAAAACGCCGTGGCCCCCCAAAAAAAGGGGGAATGCGAATTGAAGCCTAAATTTGCGTGTCACAATTTTGGTAGTGAAGCAGCCATTTCCTGTTGAGTTCCCACCAGCCTCTGATTTGCCGTTGGAATAAAGAGCAAGGCACACCGCCATCTTCCGGGCAAGGTGATGCGAAGGCAGATTGCACAGTCCATGTATTTTGTTCGATGACAGGCCCTGCCAGAATCTGTGAAATCAGAATTGGCGAGGGAAAGCTGAGGCAAGGCCGTGGGACCCCGCAAAAAAAATCGCTCTAATTCTTCGGGGTACACCAAAACAAATGTCATAAGATTCTGCCCCGTAGTCAAACATCAAAACTAACATGGCACCTGACAGAGGGACCCTTGAGGAAATTGATCTTCAGGCACCCTCCCAGAAATTCACAAATGCAAGATGTTTGCAGGCGCCCCGAAGGACGGATGTGCCTTTCGCCGCTTCCCAGTTGCTTAGTGGCCCTGGTGGAAAATGAGGGGCCCATTTTGGGGCTGACCATTTCTTGGACACGAGGCTATGTTGCAGCCAAGAACGCTAAAAAACAAATACCCTACATCAAGGAACCCACACAGACCCCCTTTGCGAGCCTCAGGGCAGGCAAGCTCCAGGCAGCTATAGAGGTTGTCCTGCCAGACCAAAACCCGCCGCCGTCGCCCCTTCGAGCCAAGGGTCCATGTGGATGTGTGTCAAACTGGGGGCAGGAGGGGGCTCCAAAGAGATGGTTTGCGTTTGGTTTCCTTTTGAGCCAGCCTGAAACTGAGAAAGGCCCTCAAAAACAAACCCATGTTTCCGGACAAACTTCCAAACTGGTTGGCGTCCTTTCCGGGGACGCATCTGAGAAGAGGTCCGCTACTTCGAGGTTTCGGGCCTCTGTTCCAATGCACTTCCCCCTAACACCCCCCCCAACAAGAAAAAGCGAGAAAAGAAAGAAAGCGACGGTTTCTTCTTGCCCGAAACCATTCCCAAAACCCAAGGCCACCGTCCGGCAGAGTCCTTGCCCAGCGTCAGCAGTTGGATCCGCTCACCCAGCAGGTGGCCTCAAGGCTCTCGGTAAAACCCCGCGGGGACCTGACTTGTGCCCCAAGAAAACAATCTCGTATGGGTATGGGTCAAAATCAAGCAACCAGGAATTGGACCGCAGGTTTTTTAGTCCATGGGGGGTTACCCTGCTTTTTACCCGCACCCATATCGTAAAAAACACTCTGAACCAAAAGCCGAAAGCAAATGGCCCTTCTTGTCGGCTTCGACAGTTGGAGTTTGAGGCTGGGGTTGGGGCTGTGTCCAAACCGCTGTCAGACTGCACAACCCTTCAAACATCTTCGATCCCATCTCGTATCGACGCCTTAGTCTTGGCTGCTGTTGACCCCCCTTGCAAAAAGTTTAACTTTTTGGGGGGTTAGTGGAAAACACATCTATTTCCCAAAAAGTTGAAGTCTAAAGATCCAACCCAATAGCAGTCAAGTAGTGAGCTTGCCATCGCACATCTTCCAGCTGTGGCAGGGGTCATTGTACGTGCCGCCCAAAGACTTCGACCTATTCTAGGGCCTTGTACATTGAAGCTGCGATCGTTGAGCTTTCCAAGTCAACGCCAAAACGCAACCTTGCAAGGAACAAATGATCCTGGCGTTTGATCATTCCAATTTAAACAAAACTCCCCTACAAGTGGCTCTGGCCCCAACTTTACCAAGCTCCAAACATCACAACCCCCCGAGGGAAACTCAATCCAGGACCTCGAAAGTGTCCTTTTGCAGGACCTTGCAGGGGGTGGATTATTGGTCGGAAAAAATGAGCAAACAAAGCCAAGTGGGTGTGCGTAACAGTAGCGGCCGCCAAAATCGATGGCTTTCCTTTTGGATTCCTTTAAACCCAGCACAACAAGGGATTTGTCGCCAAAAGTTGCCCACATCCTTCCCCTCTGCCGAGCCACCCTCTTGCAGGGCCAGCGCTTGCGACAGGTCCGCAGCCAAGGTTCCACAGCCGCCTGGCTGAAAGGCGGGCCACTAAACACATGTTGCTTCCCTTCTGGTGTCTCTGGGCGTTTGCTCTGGTAGATACATTAAAGGAAACGTCAAAAGGAAACTCCAATGTTACATCGGAGTTTCCTTTTGACGTTTCCTTTTGGTGGTTCCTCTTGCTGGTCGGTGGATTTCCTCATGAACATGCCAAGCTGAAAACCCAATTGCACATGAACGCCGAAAACGTGCAGGAAATGCACGTATATGCTTTCTGCTAGTCACTTTGGCTCCATGTCAGCTGGAGGCAGACTTGTGGCATGCTCGCCAGAGGAGGTCAAAGATCAGACAAATACCTCCAAGGAAAAGCCATTCCAGTCATAATCAAGCCCTTCATTGAAGCAGGTGAACAAAGTAAAGTCAAAAACGGCGGAAAGCAGCACCTTCAGATGGCTGGGACGGGCCCTCAGCTTCAATCAGCCATTGGTTCAGGCACAGCTCAGGCTAGTCCTTTGGCTCAATGTGGGAGACAGCTTGGCATGTCTGCCAACAGTGCAGCACCCCAAAACTGAAATTACGGGATCCCAAAAGAAAGGACCCACATCAGGGTTAGCTCATTTTCGCCACAAATAAGCAAATGTTTTCCTGGCTGGGCATGCCCCTTTTGCACGCTTCTCACAGGCCACGCCTGCTGCCTCAGAGTAGAAGACCTCTGCCTGCGCTGCAGGGGTTTAGAAATGTGGCGATGACTTCTAGGCCCCACTGCGTGTGCCACTGAGTAGGTATCCCTGGTGCACCCGTGGTCCCTGCTGAATGTGCTTTCGGTTTATCCCATCCTGTGTTTGCGCCTCTGTGGCATTTGCAACCACACTTCGATGTCCCGCTACTCTCAGCCCCGTCTCAGCGGCTGAAACTCGCCGGGTAAGCTGGGTCAAGCTTGGAAAACAAAACAGCAAGCTTGTGTGACATCCAAAGCATGAGGGTTCGGCAACATGCCCACAAGGATTAATATGGTTGAGATGGTGTGAAGAAGCTGGGCTCAAGAGGTAGACGTGCCACAAAGTGGGAAAACGAGGGCCAAACGCCATGCCAACAAATTCTATGCTATGGGCCAGCTCGGATGCACGCCGCTTTGAATGCTTTGAGCACCGCAACCTTCCACGCCATGAGCAGTATCCCGAGTCAAGCAGGAACACGTGTACAGAGACACCAAACTCTGCACATCAGCCTGTTCATGAGTTCAGACCAACCACGTCAACACTCGGGAGCGAGCAGAAACCCACAACGAGTTCGCATCGGGGTGCATGGCAAAAGTCGCAGCAATGAATCAGCAATGAATGTTTTGAGGGTGAGGCACACCACTTCTATGACCGCTGCTTGGGTAGCCGAACCTGTCGTCCCCACCACAATGCCGCACACGCCAAACAATAGGGCCCACCGTTGAACAACGTGTCCCCTCAAAGAGGCGAAATCACTGGCTCATCTTCTTGCGTGATTTCATGCGCGTTGGGAGCCCTTCAAAGCCGCCAGGTCCAATGCTTGTTCCAGACAACACCCCCTGCCTTGTTGGGGGGATGGTCCCGGCCTCTACCACAAAAGTATCTTCCCTGGTCCTACATATCAACCAGAGTTTTTTCATCCTTGTTCCCATTGGGGAAGGTTTCGAACGAATCTCTAGCTGGTTCGATACTACCAGCTTTGGTCTGTGTAATGACACACAATATGTAGACACTAAATTCGGGTACAGTGTTTGTGTGCGTGCGCGCGCGCGCTCCTCAAAAACAAAGAAATCAGAAACACTATCAACAGTTGCCTCTTGTGGTTTTCACTAGAAAAACAAAGCCCAAGGGCACCCGCCAAAACCCATTAACATACACACACACACACACACACACACACCCATGTCCGCGGCACCTTGCTCTTGCCCGGCGCCAGGGACAAAGCCGCAGGGCTCGCCACAGGCCACTCTGGGCCATGACTGGGGCAGCAGGCGATGGCCCCCGAAGGCGTGTTGGACTCGGCGAGGCAAAAGCCGCCTGCAGGCCACCCCGTTGGATATGAAGGCGGGTATGAATCCGGCTATTGTTGTTGGGTTGGATTGTGCGCCGAATGGGCTTACACACAGGTCGACACAACCACCTAAGGAAAGTAATACCAATCAAAGGCAAACCACCATTTGCGGGCCCCCCGCCCCTTCGCCCAAAAGTTTCAAACATACCAAAGTCAAACTTTGAAACATCCAAAGCAATAACATTCATACCATTGATTGGGGAATGTCTGCGAAGTCTCGTCTTGACTGCGCTTGAAGCATAGGCGGCCCATAATAGGAGGAAACAAAAACACAAGTTGAGGCGGGCCACAGCTGCTCAGGCCCTCAGACCGGCCCACAGAGTTGCTGGCGCAGGGCTCGCACACGTCCAGTGCCTGCGACGTGTAGATTTCCCCATCTCCCCGTGTTTCTCAACGTAGGCTTTCCCAAAACGGTTGGTTTTCTGCGGGGTTCCCTTTAAATGCGAATCCAAAGATGTCAACCAGTTTGAGAAACTCCCAATTGCCCAGTGACCCTGCGTAGAAAAGGGGGGCCCTTTTTGGGTTGACAGGCTTTGGTGCGGAACCTTTCTCACTTGGTCTGGAACAAACAAAAATGGAAAACAAAGCACCGATCCCCTTTCGAAGAAAAAACAAATGTGCACGAAGTCCATCTTCGTTGGGTTTCCGCTTGGGTAAACTGAGCATCTTCCCCTGAATTCAGTGTTAACCCGATCGGCAAGGAGAGCAGCGAGTTTTTCCGTCTGACCGAAGGCGTCTTGAGGGTGCTTAAGGTGGTGCCCCTTCGTTTTCCCGAGCAGTTCAAGAGCCATACCCTGGGCTGCCCCCTCTAAATTCCAAAATGGTCACCAGATCCATCTTTTCACCCAAAGCTAGAACAGCTAAAGTTTGAAAGGCAATGGTGCCTTGCCAAGCACCCCCCCCCCAAAACCCTACTTGAAATCGGCGATCCTCGTTTCCGTCTCCGCCTCAGAAGCCCCAAAGGCGCCCTCCGGGCAGGGCTGGCAGTCGCCGGCTTCCGTGCCCCCGCCGCTCGCACGGAAGCGGCCAGACGGGCAGGCCTCCAGCGGTTTTCCGCGGAAAGGTGAGAGGTGGAAGGGGATGGACACATAGGGTCTTCATTGCCACCTTCTTCGGGCTGTGGCCTAGGGTTCCGGCGGAGTGAACCTCGAGCCTGTACAGCATTGTCAAACATACTCAGCAAATGGGGGTTCAGGGTGTCAGAAGTATTTTTTGGATTCCCCACACACAGAGACACAGACAAAGAGACACAGAGACTCAGAGACACAGAGACACAGAGACACAAACACACAGACACACAAACGCACACACACAGACACCTTTCAGGTAATGTTACACCTCCTTTATTAATAGCACCCTCTATTATAGCATTTTATTTGCAATTCAGGATCTTGTGACTGTTTGGGGGTCCTCAATTGCAGCAATTGTTTCCCCGCAAAAATCCAAAACACATTTTTTGTTGTTTGCTCTCCTGATCTTGTCTGGGACTAAGCCTCCGAAGAAATATCGGCCAAACAAACTTGGCAAAGAAATCGAGCAAAAAAAACAAGCAAACAAATGCGGGCAAACAGGATTATTTGAAGTGGTCCTAAACCATCAAATTGAAGATAACTCCTTTACAAAAAAAAAGTGCGGGCAAACAGTCACACAAAGGGCCTGAGCCTCTTTAAATGTGACTGTTTTGGGGCCCTCTTTAGTGTCTAACCTGTTTGGGGGTTGCAGCACCCCCCCATTTGTTTATTTTCTTTTAACGGTCCTTGGCAATACTAAAGTAGAATTGGCAATACTAACGTAGGCACTGGGAATCTGAGAGTCAGCCTTGGCAATACTATCTGAGAGTCAGCCTTGGCAATACTAAAGTAGAATTGGCATTACTACAGTAGATCTGAGAGTCAGTCTTTTCAACACTAAAGTTGAATTGGCAATACTAAAGTAAGTACTGGGAATCTGAGAGTCAGCCTTGGCAAGAATATAGTAGAATTGGCAATACTACAGTAAGTACAGGGAATCTGAGAGTCAGTCTTTTCAATGCTAAAAAGTCGAATTGGCAATACTAAAGTAAGTACTGGGAATCTGAGAGTCAGCCTTGGCAAGAATATAGTAGAATTGGCAATGCTACAGTAAGTACAGGGAATCTGAGAGTCAGTCTTTTCAATACTAAAAAGTCGAATTGGCAATACTAAAGTAAGTACTCTCCCTCCCAGACCCCCAGGATTCTACCTAAAGAGGGTCAAGCTGACTGGTTCCACTCCTAGCGAGGGGGGGGGGGGGGGAGGGGGGGGTGGTGTAAAGAGGGTCCAACATTTCTGAGTCACCAAGAGTTAAAATCAACCGGCAGCACCCCTTGGCAATAACAGTGGAACCCGGTTTAATAGTTGGGCTTGCTGTCGCAGAAAGTTGATCCTGTCACTGTTTTGGGGCTGGCTCTTGCACCGAATTCTGCGCAAGGGATGCCAAATTAGAATTGGCAAAGCTGACCCAATCCAGACCGTAACCGAGACCCCGGCAACCTGATCCAGACCCCGCCCTTCTTAGGGGGTGCCCCCTTTCGGTCAACAAGACACCCACCAGTGCATGGCTCTTCCCAACAACTTTTCAGGGCTCATTTTTCGGGAGTTGAGACTTCGCCAGTGACGCTTTGCTGCCGGAAGCTGCCTGCTATTGTGGGAGGAAGACCTTGGCCCGGTCACCTCTTGCTTCTTCCATTTGCTTGATCCCCTGGAACAAATCCAGTAGCGATAGACTCCCTTTAAAACCAACAAAAGCAAATAGCACATATTCTTGAGCAAATGGAAACTGTGATTGCGCAACGCATGAAGAAACCTGCGGACCAATGGACAGAGAGTTCTGATGCCGTCCTGCGCACCACTCGTTGGCTTGACAACGCCCGGGCTCTCCCCAAAGCCAAGCCACAACCTGCGTGTGTCAAATAGAGGGTCGGACAGTTGAAGAAGCATCTGCTTTTGGCTTTTTCCTCTAGCTTATGGGCTGCTTAGCACCCAACTCAGGCCCCGCCCCATTCGGCGCACCTCACACTCCACGCTGGGGGTCGTCAGCTCGTTGAAGCGCCCGGGCGGGCAGGAAAGGCATTCCGCCTGCCCAAAGTAGGGCGTGTACCGGCCTGCGGGCGGAAAGGGGAAGATCCTGCAAACTTTGCTGCAATGTGTCCTTCACTTTTTGCCCGGCAATTC